TAGGGGTTAGGAACTCTTGACATTGCTTGCTCACTGCGTGAGTTTCAATCTCTGATGTAGAACTCTCACTTCAATACCAACATGCTCACAGAGTCAGTGTGAACCCCAGCTGAGAACTACTCAAATTACAAGTTTATTCCCATTTGAAAAAATCCTTAAAATGAAAACACAAGTTCTGAAATTCCAGCCTCCCAGGGTCAATATACATATGTTAGAATGTTAAGTGAGGAGATGTTAGGATTAAGAGAAAAACTCTGAGAGATCACACTCAGAAACACACGTGTATACCACACCATCCAGATGAGGCATATTTCCTTAAAAATGCAATGAAATATAATTCATCCAGTCATATTCATTAAATATGTATAGCTTTTACATGTCAACCATACCTCAAAGAGAGTTTTTTAAAATACAATGAAATATGCACTTCTAGTTAGCAGAGCTCAATGGCAAATAAAACCTACTTTGTGATTATAAATTCTGAAATGTTAATTGAATGAAAGTAATTGAGTACATTTAAATTCTTTACAGCTTTTTTTTTCTTTCATTGGCATGCACTCAGATATTTGGTTTTACCCTTTTCTGCAAAATAGAACAAATGGTATTAAGGGGTGAAATGTGTTTTAAGAGCTAAAGGCATGAATTTAGTCTGCCCTAATTTAAGATATTAAGTCACATACATGTCACATAAACATATACATACATGCCACGTTTGATCTAATATCTTAAATGATCTATATTTGATATGGCACTTATTTTTAAAGTGATTTCAGCATGGGTTGTTCTTCCCATATCTTCATGTAAAATATAGTTGCCTAGTTACTCAGTAAAATGATCATAAAAACAATAGGGAACAATGCCCATGAATCATTGTGTGCAGAAAAGTTTATTAGAAAGCAGAGAAGCAACAAAACATAAGAAATCCACGCTAGGAGAAAATACAGGGTATAACAGGACCCCCAGGTCTGAGGGTGTCAAATCATACCACTCAGGGGCTACAGAGAATGTCCATCTTGTTGGAAGGATAGTCTAGAGCCCCAAAGTGATAAAGAAGAATGAGAAATTTAGAGCATTGGGACACTTTCTTAGCTGGTGGATTGCAAATTCATACATATTTGGTCAATAGGTCAATATTGAAAGGAAAAGATAGCAAGGGAGTTTAAAATGAACCAGATTATGTTCACAAAGTCAGTGGGACAGTGGTGGGCTCATTTCCGTCATGAGGCCCAACCTATTGTATGATGTCAGTCATATTCCATGTGTCCTAAGGGTCAGCATGAGAAGTGTTTACATCTGTGAGGACAGAAGTAAATGAAGAGGATGGACACAGGACTGGGGGCTCAGCAGCAAGAGGAGGCGCAGCACATGGGGCGGGGACAGGTGGCGATGACACAAGTGGGGCGATAGCAATTGGTGTGGCAGGAGACCTGGCCACAGACTGGGCGGAGGCAGCAGCAGGGGCAGCAGCAGGGGCGGCAGCAGCTGGAGCCACAACAGCTGGAGCCACAGCAAGAGGGGCGGCAGCAGCAAGAACCACAGCAGCTGGGGCGGCAGCAGCTAGAGATGCAGCAGCTGGGGCNGGGGCTGGTGAGAGGAGTTGGGTGTTCTCAGGTGTAACTGTCTTCCTCCCCTTCGGGGCCCTATATATACCCTGGCCAGGCCCTGATGTCCCCCAGTCACTTCCCTGTTAATTTCCTGGCCAATTAAGTGAGGACTTAGCTTTGACTAATGGGGATATGGGAAACCCCTCACCTCATACATATCCATGCACACACACCCCAAAAATATTTTTCCTTTTCTTGTATTGTTTATCCTCACCAAATCTAGACATTGAATTAGATTCTGACGAATTTCCCTTGGAAATATTCCTAACTCATAAAAGCAGAAAAGAATGTGTCTCCTAAACTAGAATGGTGTCTAGTCACCCTGCCTTTTGGCCCCAAAGTTAGCATTTCATCCCTGGACTTCAAAGACTCATAATTACTACCCAAATGGTGACTTGCCTTATTGACACCACGCACATGACAGTAGCAGGTTAATAGCCGGCCTGCAGTGCTGACCAACAGTCACTTGCTTCCCAGATGTCTCCTTTCACCACCTACTGAAAGGCACCCTGGGTCCCTGCCACCCTGGTTTAGTCACTCTCCCCCAGTAGGGCCTGGGCTGTCCTGGTCGTCCTGGTCTCCTCATTCACCTGGAATGCCCTCTTCGTCCTTCCAAGCCCAACTCAATTTCTACCTTGATTGTAAAACCCCCATTGATCTGCTGCAATGTTTATCTTTGTAATTTGTTTGGGATTAGTCACTGCGTGTGTGGAATCCAGGAAGGGACCACAGAGGGGATGTAGGCCTACCCCCTCATTTTACAGGGAGGGTCATGTGTTCACCACTGTCACTCGATGAGGTCACACAATGAGACCGGGGCCCAGATCTCCTCATTCTTCAGCAAGCAGCTTCTATGAGTTTTATGTTGATTAGGCTCAGTAGACCGGGGCCCAGACAGGAGAGAGAACCTCTCAAGCCTTGAAGTAAGCAGTAGCATTAAAAGTGATCAAGGAAGAGAATTAAGGAAATGTTTTATACCCCATGACAGATAATCTGAAAAAGGCTTCAGGACTTCTTGTGCTGCGTCAGATTTGTGCTCGAGAGCAGAGGATTCTCTCTGAGGATCAACAGAGGTAGAATCATTGGAGGGGCGGGGCTACTTGTTTCTCAGTGCCGGATGTCGATGTCGAAGTGTATTGTAGCCTGGTTTTCCATAGTAACTTATCATGGCACTGTAGATATGCATGCACTTGTCTAATTCTTTTAATTGTTATTTATTTGTACCTTCATCATATACCTTACCTTTATGATGAATTCTATAAATTTACTTTTTTTTAATTAATTTTTTAAATTAAAGTTTATTGGGGTGACAATTGTTAGCAAAGGTACATAAATTTACTTCTTGCTAGTGAATTAGATTGACACTTTTCTTTGGATTTGGGGGGAAAAAAAAGAAATCTGTCCAGTCAATCCTACTTACTTTCTATGAACACTGAATGAAAAAAGGGGGGGGGGCCAAGAGCTTGCAAACCACCAATCAAATGCTTTTTATTAGTCGTTTGTTCTAAAATTGCCTTCTCAGCTTCAAGGGGGAGGCTTTTTTGTTGTCATGGGAGAATTAGTTCTAGTTTTGCTTTGATGATACCATGCAAGATATCACAGATATGAATTATACCAAATTCATTCTCTGTGTTTCTCATGCCAAGATTCCCTCTTGGCCTCTTTGATATTATTAGTTGATTTTTACGGTATGGACTAAATAATTCTCTGAGAGGATATGGCTAGATGCAATATTCTAGGCAAAGTCATATTATAATTTGACATAAGGATAATATTTTCTAATTTGTTTACAAATAGATTTTTTATTTATGACCAACATTCTGTGGACATTTTTGGCCTCCACAGTCCTTGGAACTAATATATCATGGTTTTACAAGAAATCTTATTTTCTTTTCTAACTAGGCTCTTACTGAAAGCTTGTACCCAATTTTAGACTTCTCTGTGGTGTGGGAACCCCAGGCTAAGGAATCATTTGTTTCAGGCCAAGAAACCCCTGGGACTCCCAGCAATAGGAAACTCAAAATCATCACAAGGAGGGAACCAGTCGAGGTCTATTTCCTCATGTGATGTGTCATTATTTATCATGAGTTATTATAATATTCTTCAGGAATTGTTTTTACTATAGAACTTTCATTTTCCTTGGGTGTGGAAGTGTCCTTATGATTTTATTTCTTATTAACCAACCAATTATTGGTCTTAGTTACGTCTGAATAGTAGGTTCTACTCTTGTTGGTTTGTTTGGTGTTATGGTGACAAATGACTTTCCTCCACTTCTTCATCCATGTTATTACCTACCATCATAAGCCCCATGGTTCATCCGGTGACAGTGAAAATGGTGACTGCTGAAGCCTTTGCATGGACATTCCTTAATAGAATCACATTTTGCCTGGAGGAGGGCGTGGAGGGCACTGGATAGTAATTATTACATTTAACTCATAGTAAAAGATCATCTTTGGCAGGAGGTGAATTTGTCCAATAGCAGTACTTCCTCCTAAGTTAAAGAGATGTTCTGGATTCTCTGTCTTTTGAGACCAAGTCAGTCACGCTAAACTTATTAGCTTCTGAGTCTCTTAGTTTCAACTGCAAAGTTTCAGTAGTCTTAGTTTGTTGATAAAAAAAGAAACAAGAAAGATGACACAATCTGCCTTTTGACATTTTTGCTTTTATTTTTAAGTAAAAAAATACTTTTTGCTTTTTT